AACTTCCATTCGTGAATTCTCACAAGGGGATTGGGAATTGTTTCATGAGGCATGGGAGAGATTAAAAACTTGCTTAGGAAGTGTCCACACCATGACATGCCTAAATGACAATTAGTTCAATTTTTCTTTGAAGGTTTGTCGGATAATTTTAAAGGAATGGTTGATGCTTCCATGGGTGGTTCTTATCTTGATAGGCATGAGAATGATGTATGACGTCTTTATGAAAGTATGAATGAGAATTCAATGCATCGATCTTTATCTTCCAAAAATGGTGGAAATTTAGGTGGAAGGAAGAATGTCGGCCTATATCAAGTTAACAATTCCAATGACATAGCCGCTGAAGTCAAGTTTTTATCTCAAAGGTTTGATCAACTAAAATTCGGTGAATTAAGTGTCTTCCTCCCCTAACCATTCTCATCACAATTCCAATGAATCTTACATGACTTGTTCTTGTGTCTTACATTCTACTTCTAATTGTCCCTATGTACATGTGCAAAGTGAGAACCATGAACAAGTGAATGTCGCATTTGTCAACCAAGGGAATAATCCCTATGGCACACATTACAATGCCGGGTGGAGGAACCATCCAAACTTCTCTTGGAAAAGCCAAGGGGAAGGCTCAAACCCTCCTTAAAGTGGTTTTCAAGGAAAGTGTGTTCCGCCCCTAATGCAAAGCCAAGGTTCCCAAGGTTATAGATCATCATACCAAGCACCGCATGGAAACCAATTTTCAAATACTCATTTTTCAAACCAATCTTCATATTCTCAAGAGAACTCAAGGAGTCCTGCATTTAAAGAAAAAATGTTGACCGCTTTGGGTACTTTAGAGGCCAATACCCAATTACTTCATTCTCATTCCCAATCTATTATGAAGCTAGAAACCCAAGTTGGGCAAATAGCTAGTACATTGAATGTTAAGGAAAAGGGGAAGCTGCCTTTGAACCCACCACCAAAGCAATAATTTGTTGTGGAGACCAATTCCTCATCGGAAGGTTAGATAATTGAACATGTCAATGCGGTAACAACTTTAAGAAGTGGAAGGATTGTGGAGAACCAAATTGGTGAATCAAATGAAGAGAGTGAACCGGTGCAGCCAAAAGTTGACACCCGTCCTGTCTCACATCCTATTCCTCTTTCATTGCATGTGAAAGATTCTTTTGATCAGAATAATTTGAAAAATGATTTGAAAACTTCTTGTGTTGAAAAAGTTTCAAAAAAGGATTATGAAAAAGTTTTTGAGCCAAAGACTCTATTTCCGAATGCCTTGAAAGGATCCATTTCTCTTGAAAAGCAAAAGACTAAAGCCAATGAAATAATTGATGTGTTTAGGCAAATGAATATCAATCTTCCTCTCTTAGATACAATTAAACAAATTCTGGCTTATGCCAAATTCTTGAAAGATCTTTGCACCCAAAAGAGGAAGAACAAGAGCAAAGCACCAAAAGAGGTTATTTTGACCGAGCAAATGAGCTCCATTTTACAACATAACATACTTTCAAAATTCAAAGACCTTGGTTCACCCACTACTTCTTGCATCATTGGTGACCATGTCATTAACTGGGCTCTTCTTGATTTAGGAGCAAGTGTGAACCTTCTTCCGTACTCAGTGTATGTTCAATTGGGCGTAGGAGATTTAAAACTAACGTCGGTGGTTTTGCAACTAACCGACCGATCCATCAAAAAGCCCCATGGTATAATTGAGGATGTGTTGATCAAAATTGATATGTTCTTCTTCCTGGTCAATTTCGTAGTCATTGACACGGAACCAGTTGTAAACCCTAAAAGCCAAATTCTCATTATCCTTGGCTTTCCTTTCTTGGAAACTGCTAATGCCAACATAAATTATAGGATGGGGATAATGAAAATTTCATTTGGGCATATGAAGGTGAAGTTGAACATTTTCAATCCAACCCCCAATTCTTTGGACAAGCATGAAGAAGTTTGTGCTGTTGAAAAATGCATTGAAAATGAACTTGAAAAACATGAGTCTTTACTTGTCAATGGAATTTCAAAAGAGAGTTTAAAGAAAAGTGTTCTAAAACCAAGTGTTGCAAGGGCATGGAAGCCCAAAGGTTTGTTTGTTAAAGGACCGTCAATGCCATTTGAATCAAATCCAACAAGTTCCCTAGGGAATAGTTTATTGGGTGTGGTTCAAAGTTCATTTCACCCCTTTAAGGAGGGGATGCACAACAAGATTTTTAATCCAGGCTAAAAGAGCCCAACTTTTTGCTAGAGACGTTAAACACTAGTGATTCGTAGGGTTTTTAACCCTATTCTTCCCTCATTTCTATCTTACCTTTCTTTTCTTACGTTGTCTAGAAATATTCTTGGAGCATAAACATTGTTTGGGACTTTGATTAAGAATGCACGCACTTTTATTTTTGAATTAAGCATTTAGTGCCTATTCGATCACTCACAAAAGGAGGTTTGATCGATCGAACACCATCTCTGCATCCAATCATCTCTCTATCCCATCGTGCAAAAATTTCCCGCATATTTCACCTTTCTATGTATCGTGTGAATTTTATCTCAGATCGATCCAAGAATTCCAAGATCAATCCAGTTTTCCCTTGGATCGATCTCCATTCCATACTTGGAAATTTTTTTGAAACTTTAAAAAAATACTTTTCTGTGCATCGTTCGAAGATCCCTGTAGGTTTTTACCTGTTGGATTGATCGATCATTATCTGTAGTCGATCTGTGTTCTCCTGTTTGACTTTGACTTTTCCAATTTCAAATTTCAAAAATTCAAAAATATTTTTCAATTTTAATTTTTTTTTTTTTTAAATTAAATAAATAAAAAGTTTTTTATTTTTATTTTTTAAAAATCTAAAAATATTTTTAATTTCCAAAAATTCAAAATTCAAAAATATTTTGTCATCTTGTGGGTTCGATCAATCCATTCAATGTCATGATCGATCGATTTTCAATCGATCGAATCACTTCTGTGATTCGGGATCTATTTTTTTAAAATGACCCAAGGGTCATTTAGATCGATTTCTACATCGATCTAAGACTCTCTCTCTCTCCCGATGACCCTCCATCATCTTCCCACCTCTAGCAAGTTCCAAAGCTTCAAAACTTCCATCTTTGCACTCTCGCGCTACTTCTCTCTCTCTGGGTCCACTTCTCTCCTCTCTTTGGGTAAGTTTTTCATTTTAATTTTTCATTTTTGACGTTTTCAAGTTGCCATGTTTAGATTTGATCTTCCTTGTTGATCTCTTGCCATTTTTGAAGCTTTCAAACATATCTATATATGTATATATATCGCTTGTTTTCGAATTTGTTTTCGAGGTCACATACCGATTTAAGTGACCATTTGTTTAGGTGTATAGGGGCCCATGAGAATATCGAATGCCCTCGTGTTGTCCACGTCACGGATCCGTGACTATTCATTTTTTTTCTATAGGTTCGATCGATCGAACCAAAGCTCTGATCGATCAAAGTTCGATTGATCCAACCCATCTCATGATTGATCCAAGTTGGATCGATCTTATCTTTTTCATGATCGATCGAACTTCACTATTTTGCATATTGATGCCCCTACACCCTCATTTGTGTTCATGCTATTGTAATTATGCCCAATGCCTGTGTTTTCTACATTGGTTGCATTTTATACTTATCATGTCTAGCATGTTTCATGTTTTTGAACATCCAATGTTTATACTTAGCTGCATTATCACTTGCATAGATAGGTTCATGTGCATACCTTCTGAGTTATCTATCTTTATCTGACAAGCATGTCTCTATCTATTGTTCTTTCAATTCTATATTTTAAATATTATTTTCTGTTACTGACTTCATTTGTAAGTGTTTTTTTTCTTTTTGCAGACCATGACTCGGTACAAGACCACGGTAAATCGGACATATGACCGACGAGTTAGGCAGTGAGTAGAGGAGCCAGCTCCTACTCAGAAGGTCGAGCGCTCCTCCTCTTTTCCAGCCGCATCTTCATCATAATCATCTCGGGAGGCCGAGCACACGTCACCTCATTTTCCTATTCCGGCACCACCACCGGCACAGCCCGGCATGGTCCATGACGAGGTTGAGCCTAGATTTTTGCGCCTTTCAGTAGCGCATGAATCAGTGTTTAACGAGACTTTCTTTGCCCAGTCGGTCACGACCAAGTGGGCCTATGATAAGATCTTCCGACACAATATTTCATCTATTCTGGCCCCAGTGGCCAATCCAGTGTACCCGAGACTTGTCCGGTTGTTTTACCAGAACCTTCGGCCGGCCCCGAGTAACCTGGCGAAGTTGTGGACCACCATTGACAGCCATCCCATCCGCATTACAGTCGAGACACTGGCCACAGCCTCTCAGTGCCCACACGTCTGCCCTCCCGGCATTGATTATCCTATTCTCTAGAGGCCACCTTGTGTAGCCATGGCCATAGCACTTAATGGCCCTACTAGTGCCGGTAAGACATTTGCCACCAGGACATACTTGCCCGACAGCCTATGGTTTTTCGATTTGATCTTGTACTGAAATATTTTTGTGGCAGGGCACAAGATACAGAGGTGGGCCGATTTTCTAGTAGCCCTGTATGCTTTCTACACTGGCCATTGGTTACGGGCTAAGTTCCTCCCCTTTGCACATTTTATCACGTAGATCCTTCAGGACCAGTATTATCCTTTCCACCCGAAGGAGCAGCCTGAGACAGAAGCTTGCCACTACAGCAAGAAGGATTGGAATAAGAGTTACAATGCTCTTACTAGGCGACTAGAGGAAGAGACAGTCCTAGAGGCAGATGAGGCAGTAGAGGCAGAGGAAGTAGTAGAGGCAGATGAAGCAGTAGAGGCAGAGGAAGTAGTAGAGGTAGAGGAGGCAGAGGCAGAGGCAGCACCAGCAGCTGAGGGTGCATTTATGAACATTGACTTGGAGCGAGAGCTTTTAAAGGAATCACCACATCAATCTTTAGCGGGGCCACCATTACATTCACAGGAGCAGAGTCAATACGTGCATTAGTTTCCTGATCCAGTCATTCCTGACACTCTAGCTCAAACACCCAGCCTAAGGGAGCGAATCCAGACCTTGGAAGATGCGGTAGTCTCTCTTCGAGCAGATGTGGTGTAATACCCCTAAAATTAAAAAGGATATAATTGGGATTTTACTATTTATTTTAAGTGTTTTATGTGTTTATGTGGATATGTGTTTAGGTTTAATTGATTAAATTATTTGTTCTTTCTTTATTTAATTTAATTGTTTAGTCTTTAATTGATTTAATTGTCATTTGGGTTGTTTTTGAATTGTTTTGTTGGTTAATTATTTTATGTAATTTAATTGTGGTTTTAATTAATTGGTTTATTTTATTTTATTTAATTAAATAGGTTAAATTATTAGGGTTTTGTCTCTTTACCGTCACGTTTGACCAAAGCCGCCTTGTTTAATTAAGCCGCCTTAGAGATGTAAGGAATTATTGATTTTCGTCTCTACGATTAAAGTAGAATTAGGGTTAATATCTTTTCCTAAGCCTATAAATAAAACAATAAGGGTCTTCTTAGGGTTGTAAGCACAAACCTTATTCACGAATAGTGAAAATACAGAGAGTGAAACAGAGAGTTTAAGGGAAAAACTAAAGGAGAGGAAGGTAGGGTTTGAGCCAAGGATTGTAAGCCGGACTAAGGAGGAAGCTTGAGGGCTGTTTGAGGGTTAGAACTGGAGTAGAGGAATCCTTGATGGCGGTCACGATCACTAGAAAGTCTAGGAAGAAGACGACGTTGAAAGGTTTCAAACCGAAACTGAAAGGCAAGTTCTTTTCTTCCTCCTTCCCTTTGGCTTGTGTTCTGTGCACCTAGATAGTCTCTAAGGTTTAATTAATCAGGAACTAGAATTTACATGGTTAATATATGCTATATTGATGGTCTATTTGTTGTTGAAATTAAATCTGTTACAATTCGCGCAAGTCTGTTTTAGTTTTGTTTTCTTAAAGCGTGTAAATTCTATTGGAATTTTAGTTACTGTATTTTCTTTCAACAACTGTAAATGAATGATTGGGATGCTACTGGGATTAGATAAGACTCCTAAGTTCAGTAGTGAAGAGGAACAGAGGGGATTAGAATGGAACTGATATTGCAAAATAGTTTCAGTTTTTTGTTTCAGTAACAAATTTGGTTTTAATTTGATTTTAACTTCTGTAAACGAATCATGGAAATGTTACTCAGGTGTTATAAGACTCTTAAGATGAGTTTTAGAAATCAACAGAGTGGCAGGAATGGTCCAAAGACAGAGCAAACGAACTGAAATGAAGCAGAAACGGACTGAAGCTCTCAGAGGGGGAGGAATTCGGCTTTCCCATGAGTAGAGCCAGCTCTAGAAAGAATAGAGCAGGCTCTCCTGTAATACCCCTAAAATTAAAAAGGATAAAATTGGGATTTAAATTTCATTCAATGTGCATTTTTGTCTATTGATTTTTTAATTATTGTATTTTGTTTGTTTTATTTAATTATTTGTAAATTGTTTTGTGTTATTTGGTTGGTTATTTTAGTTAATTATTATTTGATTAATTTTTTTAATTTCATGGTTTATTTTAGTTGGCTTAGGTTAAATGTTTTTATTGAATTAGGTTATCGTTTTAGCTATACAATGGAATTCAAGTGAGTAGCCGACACTGTTTTAAAGCGTAGATTTTTTTTATGGGCCGATAGGAATTATAATTAGGGCTCTGTCTCTACACGTACAAGGAATAAGGTTTATTTACATTGTTATATATATATATAGAACAATGTGTGGATTTAGGGTTTTAGAATACAAAATCTCTCCACATCTCTAGGTTATAGAGTGAAAATAGAGAGGGGTTTTGTAAAGACAGAGTATTATAAGGTCTGTCAAAAGAAGAATTAGGGGGACCAAGAAGGTGTGGTGGTAGTTTTACTAGAACCAGAGGAGGATGGACAGTGGGTGGTGTTGCTAGAACAAGCAAATTCTGAACAGGCAAGTTCTTCTCTTTCTCCTTCTCTTTGGCTTATGTTCTGTGCACCTAGATAGTCTCTAGGGTTTAAGTAATTATGAATTGAAATGTACATGCTTATCATATGTTATATTGATGATCTTTATGTGTTAAAAATCAATTCTGTTTAATGCTTGCAAGTCTTGTTTCAGTTTTCTGTTTTAAGCATGCTATGTTGTTAGCAATTTTAGTTTCTATAACTGTTTTTAACCTCTGTAAACAAATCATGGGGATGATTATGGGGTTTTATAGGACTCTTAAGATTAGTAGTGAAGAGGAACAAAGGGGTTGGAATAGAAATGTTATTGCAAAAATAGTTTCAGTGTTGTCTCTAAAGCATGTCTAGTTCGGTAGCAAATTTGATCTATGTAATTGATTTAAATGGTTGTAATCAAACCTTTGGGATGCTAGTGGATATTAATAAGACCCTTAGGATCAGTTTTTGAAACCAACAGAAGGGTAGAAACATGCCGGAGAAGAAGCAGAAAGTCAAAACGGAGCAGAACGGGGACAGAGGCTTTCAAATGAGGTGAGAGCCGGCTTCATGGATGTGGGAGCCGGCTCCCACACTCATTGAGCTGGCTCTAAGATGTTTAGAGACGGCTCTAGGCTTAAAAAGAGCAGGCTCTTTAAATTTAGAGCAGGCTCCCTTCAATAGTGCTTGCTGATTTTTTTTTTCCTACGTACTGTTTGATGCTGTGAGCACTGTTTGGACATGCGAATGGTTCCAATGGGTTGTGGGGACTTCACAGAGGGTTTAAAGGGTTAACTTTAAGTAATATTAAACCTCTTATTGCATGGTTTAAGTCTCTATGATAAAGGATGAAACAGTGTAAAAATATACAACTGTGCAATCTATTAACAGAAGAATTGAACTGAGTGGCTTGTTTAAATTTCAGAAATTTAATGGGACTTCACAGAGGGATTAAATAGTTAATTCTGAGTGTGATTAAAACCTTGAATTGATTAAAGTTGATTTCTAATTTAATGGGACAAACAGTATAAAATTGATAAATTTTTCTACACTGTTGACGGATGGAAGACGGATTAATTGCTTAATTTAATTTTTAGCAATTTAATGGGATCCAATATGTTAATAAAACTTGTTTTAAATGCAGGATAAGGTTTTTATTTTAGATTGGAACTATGCATGCCTTGGATGTTAATTGTTAGAATATTAAATTCATTGATGCAATTACATGGATTAACACTGGATTTTAATTGCGAGATTGTTAAATCTTCTTTCTGCAATTATTTGGATATTTGGGTTAGAACTGTAAATTACTTGTTTATTATTTATATGTTGTAATTTACATGGATATGAAGGATTGTATGCACCGGTATGGGATGGTGACATACTAAGTATGGTTAGCTCAAAACGCTAATTCCTACCTTGTGGATTTTAATTGGTGAACAGTTTTACCTGTTCAATCAATTATATGGATTTTGTGGATTGTATACACCGGTATGGGACGGTGGCATACTAAGGATAGACTGATTCAAAATACTCAGTCCTACCTATTTTGGAATAAGGGTACGGGTTGTTAAATAAAATCCTCCTTATATATATGAGTCGGTGCAGTTGAATACGCTAAACATTTACTGGGTTTCTTATGGATATGAATGTGAACGGATTTTATATATATTGTTATGGTACCGTGACGTGAGTTTGAGTCTTATAGTCGACAGTTAGGGAGCGTATATGCAGTAGGATGCGTAGCTAGCTATGTTGGTTGAGGTATACCCTGTTAGGCTTAGGTAGTCATGCCCACTCAGGTGCGTATTGCATGTTTCCTTCTATTCAGGTTGAGACCCTCAGCATAGTTTAGTGAGAGTCCTGTAGTGTGGATGTATATTTATCTATTACAGACTATATAGATATTGTTGAGATATCTAGGGTGTATCTGCATATCGGGTCACTGTTTGGATTGCAGTTAGAGAAGAATTTGCATGTGGGCCTGACCCACTCTTATTTTTACAGGTGTTCGTTTGTTCCAGTTTTAGAGCTGGATTGTGCTGAGCAAATACAGTCATTCACTCCACCGATGACTAGGATTTTATTTCATGTACTAGACTTGGGTTTTAAAGTTACAATTGGTATTTTAGGGGTCCACTAAATGGATTCCCGAGTTGTATAATTTGGAGAAGGATTTGCATTCGTGAAGGATCAGTTGTATCAGAATAGTTTTATTTATCAATGGAAATAAATATTATGAGGTTTCTATCATTGGATTGTCTTTTTAGTTTTCATTTTAGCAAATTGTATTTATCTCTTTTGGTTTTAATTGTATTATGTGTTCGTTAACTGCTAATTGATTTGATATCCTCGGGTAATCGGGCGTGGGCCTGGCCAACTCGCATCCAGAAATCCAGGGGTATCACATCTACCTCAACAAGAGCAGGCTCTAAACTCCTCTGAGCCGGCTCTAGGCTGATTAGAGCCTACTCTGATTTTCCAAGGGCAGGCTCTACCCAATTTGATGCGTACTGTGACTTTTTAAGTTACTTTTTGGGCACTTGGGGTTTCTAAACAGTTTTAAAAATTTAATGGGGTTTTCAAAACATTATTTTAACATGTAATCAAGGTTGAATTGCATAAAATACCCCTTTGTTTTAATAGAATTAAAAGAGCGCTAATTAACAATTTTGCCTACGGTTAACGGCTGGAAGGAAATAAATTGTCTAATTTAAATTTGACAATTTAGGGTGCTATAACATAATTCTAAATTAAATTTTAGATGCATGAGGGAGTCTTTTAATTAACAAATTGGACTCATAGCATAGTTTATGGCTCGGTGCAAGAGCAATAAAACAGTATGCAAGTATGCAACCTAGCTTGCTTTTGACGGATAAAAGGAACTGAATTGCTAAAAGTAATTTAGAATTAATTTTAGCAAATTCTTGGACAATATTATGATTTTAAAACTTTTTAAATTGCATGATAGAGTTGTTGATTTACTAAAACTGATCTATTCATGCTCTGGATGCTAGTTGATAAATTGTTAAACAATACATGGGTTAACTCTTGGATTTAAATTGCTAAAACTATAAATACGTTTCTGCAATTATTTGGATTTTGGTTTTGAACTATAAATTGCTAAACTATTATGTATCTGTTATAATCTACATAGT